GTACATGAGGTCTGTGTGCTGAAAGACAGGCAGGGCCAGCTCTCCTCGGCAGCAGCAAACACTCTAAGGTTACCGTGTGCTACTTACTAGGTATATTTTGGTCACAAAGTTAGGGGAAAGGTGGCTTCTTTGGCAGGTTGCTCTTACATAAAGTAGTAAAACAAAGATGCTCTGTGTTGAACCCCTTTTGCCCCCTCTCAGTTGTGAACTCTCTGTAGGTGGGAACCATTTTTTATTCACGTCTGTCCTTCAGACAAGGGATCGGTCCACTATAGGAATGCCTAAAGCCACACCAGTGGTCTTCAGTCCTGCTTTCCTAGGAGGCTCTTGGAGGGACAGTGCTCACAGAACCTGTCTGTGGAAGCATCCTCTGGGCAGTTTGGATAAACAGAGGAAACAGCAAGAGGCACTATCTTCCCAACCAATAGGGCCGTTTTATCTTGACATCTTTTTTTCATCAAATTCCTGGTAAGTTGGGTCTTGGAGTCTCTTTGAACCCCAGTTTCCTTATCTGTAGAGCGAATATAATAATAAACCTACAAGCTCTCTTATGGTACTACAATAAGAACCTATTCTTGAGTATTTTGCAGAAGAACCTATTCTTCAGAATTTTGCATAAATTATGAAATTACAAGTAGAAATGTTTATATTACCCGTGAAACTGTGCCCCAAACTGTGTAAGCACCTCTGTCTTTAACTGAACCTGGGACTCATGCACAGGGCCAGGCACACACAGGATGCTGAGAAAATGGCCATGGAATTCCACTTCCGTAGTCTCTGCCATGCCTCTGCCTGGCTTAGCAGAAGACTTGATAGCGTAGAGATAAGTGGCCTTTGCCTATCAGATATGGGAAGATTCAACAGAATGAAAGCAGAAAAATGAATAAAAGGTTAGCTAATAGAATACAGCTTAGTACAAGCAAACATGCTAACTGCAATATAAGAAGAGGAGACCACTACACCTCCATGTCACAGGAGTTCAACAGGGATTTTTTTGAGGCATTTTTGTTTGGACTGCAAATGAACAAGGAGAAGACGACATATGAATCCACACGATAAAGAAAACTGAAGTATGGATATATAAGCAGAGCACCACAGGAAAGATTCAGAAAACAATCCCAATGAGCAAAATATCACAGGAAAAAAAAAAAAAGGAGAAACCCAAGTACACAGGGCAGTAAGATTAAAATCAGATTACTTAATAAAAGCTAGTGTTTAAATGGAAAACAATGTACATTGTTTGTCCTTGAAATGTGACATGCAATCCTTTTTTTTTTAGAATGCCAAAGCACTCCACAGCAATAGCCCATATCCGACAAAGTCCCATCACCCTTGAATCCCAGAGGTCATTGTTCCTATACAATATTGGGAGGTTTTGATTGAATAGATGTCACTGAACTTAGCAGTCACTTGGAATAGAAAACTTCAGAAAATAAACCCATTCAGGAAGAGTCAGAATTTGAATTAGGTAAGGGCCCACCTGCTCAGTAATGAAATAATTGCTCAAGACACGTTCTTCTGTAATCTTTTTTGATGTGACAACTATTCTGGGGCCCTATTTCTCTCATTGCTGCCTCAACATTTCCACATAATCTCAGGGCCTCTTAAAGACACAGATTCAGAAGCCAGACAGTCACTTCCCTAATGTCACCAAAATAGATTCAATTTTACATACATCAGGGTGATTTCAGAAGCAATTTCTACATCTTCAGTGTAAGCATTACTTACATTTTTTCCCCCTTCAAATCTAATCCAACTGATTCCATGGGGCATTTTAAAAGGTACCGCATGCATTTTAGGACATTCAAAAACAAATCCCCAGAGTGTGTTTATAGCTGCAGCCTGAAGACACCAGATGCATGGAAAGAGGGCTAAATATACTGTGAGTCATAGAAATGCAAAATTTTATAATAAGTATAATAAGTCAAATATAATTTGCTTTTTATGCCTTAAAAAAGCAGTATCATTAAAGTGAATGTACATATAAACATATGTGTGTTTATATGTCTCTGTATTTATACAAAGACATGTATGTATATGTCTGTATGCATTTATACAACTGAATACATATATTTGTATATATGCATGTATTTTATATTACATACACACACGTGCAGTCACTTGTCTCTCACCTTTAAAATATCTAATTACATTCTATTGGATATTATTCCTCTTTTTCTGGCTAGCAAATCTCAGTTTTGGTCATTTTCATCTCAAAGGTCTACATTTTGGGCCTTGATGAAGAATGTGGCGATTTCTTTGAAGCCCAAGAAATAGAGTTACTCAGGTTGTTTTCATGTGTGATCATAAGAAGGCTTGATATCAAGTACCTATAATTTTAGGATTGTAATGATTTCCATGCATCTTTGGCAAAGTCCTATTTACAAAAGGAAAAAAAAATATTCCCAACAAGCTGGCCTACACAGGAAAAGTTTGGCATGCACAGGCACTACTTCGCCAGTATTTTCAATCAGCTCTTCTTGCAAATGTACCTCTCTACCCATGAATCTAAAGCAGGAGAGCATCGACTTTGCAGGGCAACCAGAGGCTCTGAGAGCTCAGGTTGGTCCTTTGTTCAAAGACTAACCAAACCCAATTCCTGTGAGTCACTTCTCTGTCTGGCATACATCAACAACCCCTTTGCTGGCCCTGGGGAATGCATGGATTCCAGTGATTCAATTATTGAGACAGAATCATTGAGAATAGAATGGCAACAAAGTCAGGTGGAACCACAGTTTTTCTTCCAAGAAAAATAAAAGGTAAATATTTCCTAAAAAAAATAATCACTATCCCATTTCCCACCTTCCCAGCTGGGAATACCCATCAGGGCACATTTTTATATTTATCAAGAACAGTTTTTATATGTCAAGTATAAAAAATTTTATATAACAAGAAAAGTTTTTACATTTTATTTTTACATTGAAAAGCAGTCAGATTTGCTTCAGCCTGAAAGAGTGTGTTTATGTAAAATTAAATAAATTCTGACAGGTTACTGCATCTTTTTTTCCCTAAATGGGAAATGGGTTAAAAGCCATTACCCACTTTTAAGAAGCGCTCAAACTTAGCATCATAATGGGCAAAGCAGATACCACATGTCTATCCACATGGTGCAAAGGGAAATATGCAACATTATCTTTGTGATATTTTTGCCAAAATGTTTAAACTCCATACAATCATGATAGAAATAAATCACACAATTCTGTACTGTAAACCATTCTATGGACAACTGTCCCAGATTTTGAAAAAAGAAAAAAATGTTAGTAACCAGAAAAAAAGTAAAATTCACACTTTTGGCTGTTCTATTTAAAAGGAGACAAAGGGACAAGAAAACCAAACATGAGGTGAGCACCCTGGTTTGAATCCCGAATTACAACACCCAAACCATACAGAACATTTTGGGGAAATTGAAGGAATTGGGCTGTTGGCCGGAATATCAGATATCATTAAATCAAGGTTGCATTTCTTGGATAAGATATTAATTCTACTGTGGCAGTGTTGAAGATTTGTCCTAGTTCTTAGTGAGTACATGCTGAATTCCCTGGAGGTAGAGTGTCAAATGTCTGCAACTTAACTTCTAAGTGGTTTATAAAATTGTGTGTACAGGGAGAGAAAGAGGAAAAATGAAAATGCTGCAAAATGGTAACAACTGGCGAATACAGGTAAAGGATATGTAAATAGGCATTTTGCTTTTTCTTAAGTTTTTTAGAGGTTCAAACTAATCTCTCTTTCCAAAGCTAGTTCATGAACATTTAAAATTAGCCTCCCTTAAATGTCTGTGTTCTTTAGCTAGTGTGCCTGGAGGAGTTATCTGAATGACTACAAAAACCCAAGTCCTCAGGCTTGCCCCATCTCTCATCTCCAAGGAGGTTTTGACTCAGTGGATAAGGGTGGGGCCCAGATACATATTTTGAAAACTTCCCAAATGAGTTCAGCATTGCACATGAGCTTAGTAACTATGGGCCTGAATTATTCTTAGATCCTGGAAACATAAGAAAAATGAGTTGTGTGTCTATGTGAAGTTGAACCAAGCACACTTATCTTTGGATACTTTACCTGTGAAATGGGAACACTAATGCTAAATATCTCACAGGACTATGGTGAGAATATCATGAAAGATAGTGCCTGCACTGTAGAAAGAGGCAAATAAATGTTCCCTGTCTTCCTTCATCTTTTCATAGATCCACATCATCCTAGATGGACCATACCACAGTAGTTTTTATAAAATGTCATTTCTTCCATTTGCAATTTACATAATATATGATGGAAATGTGTCTGTGATCATATCCTTTTAGATTTGGAGTAGAAGCTGGGAAAGTTCTCTTGAGTCTGATTGCTAAGTTAGCCTTATAGGTTATCAGCCTTCGAGCTCTTCTTTGACTGAGAGTTAACCATGCAGTCTTAAACCCTTACTTACATTAGTTTGGTCTCCTACACAAGGACCTAGGTAATGTTGACTAAATATCACTTGGAGTTTTGGCTATGGCTTGGAACTGGCCAAGGTTTGGAAGGTATGGTTTCCAATCTGCACATGTAAGTTCTTCAGTCACAAGACTGTGGAAAGGTTATTCCTCTGAGCCTCAGTCTCCTAAGCACTCAAAATGGAGATAATAATAATCCATGACTCGCCTACCTTCCATGATATATGCGAAACGATTTTGAACATTTTAAATCAGTCAATTCAGTGCAGCATATTTTTCTCCTTAAGGGCATATTCCTTCACCTCCCTCTTTTGTTTTAATTATTACTAGTTTTAATCTACTTCTCTTTGACCTTCAAGCAGTTAGAAATACTTTCTCCCATTTCCATCTGCCTATGGCCTTATCACCTTAGGATTAACTGCCTCGAGGCTCAGCCAGGGAGAACCTGCATTCTGGATCATCCCAGGGAAGAATCCCAACCCCTTACCTTATAGCGCCTGACCACTATGAGGGGTCCACAGCAGAGATTTCAAGGCCAGGTTGGACCAAGACTATCTTTTCCTCTTAGTTGACTCAACTTACTAAATCCATTAACATCCTGGGAACTGGAGGAGAAGCCTTCATCATTGCAGCTGGCGCTGAGCTTGGTGGTGGGTTTGTCAGCTGAGGCCACAGGTCCCATCTCTCTCTGGGCTCCACTCTGTGTCTCCTTCTGCTTCTTGGCCAGCTTCCTTTGGGACATGTGAAAGGGAAAAAATCACAGTCAGATGGTGCCAGTTGCATTACATCACTGGGAAGATAGATTGCTCGCTTTCAAATCCTCATCCTTAATCCCCAGACTTTGTTAATTATCCAAAAATAGTTGAGGCAGGCCCTCCAATATCAAGGTGGAGTTCATACAAATCCTCTCGAAACCATTAAGGGAGTACTTTAACTAGGAACTGTGAGACTCATGCTGTCTCATTCCCAACAATAGGACATTCTACACTTGAGATTAAAACAGGAAATTGATGAGAAGTTATGATGTTTCCCAACTCTCCTTTCAAGGAGAGGAAACATTCACGCTAGTCATTCTGTTCTCTTGTCTTCAAATGAGACTGAAAATAGAGTCTCACCTTTCTCAGAGCCTGAGATAATGAAATAACCTACCAAATATTGGTAAATTGAAGTAGTGGCTGATGGTTAGTAGTGGGTGATGGTAATGGTTAGTCTTATAGCTCAAAGGGCAAAAGGTAAAGTTGAACTTGATGTGTAGATAGATATATGTCTGTGAGACTAACACATCCTCATATCCAGATGGTTATTCATAATAATAGCATAGAGCAGTAGTTTTCAAACTTTGGCTTAGATCTGAGTCAGTTGAAGCACCTGGAGGCTCAGGATTGTGGTAGTAGGACAAGTGATTATGACACCAACCAATGAGGTTAAAACTATCAGCTTTGGTATCAGACAGATGTAGATTCATGCCCTACCTCTGCTGCCTGTCAGTTGCATGACCCAGGGAAAGATCATTAATCTTTTTAGGTCCTCAACTCTTTTTGTGTATACTGTGGTGAATAGTAGTAGGATCAATGCATAGGTTTTTGAGGATTAAGGATAATACATAAAATGCACAGAGTACAATGCCTGTCACATAACAAACATTCAACACATACCAGTTGCTATTCTTATTACATCATTGCCAAATGAACCAACTACATCCTCATGTCTGAATTCCCTTTCCAATAGCCCCAAAGTAGAGTTTTATCTCTCCCTGAATTATATCAAGGTGTAGAGGCTTTGATTGCTCCTCAGGGAAGTGAAAGGTTAGAGAATTCTTCTTTTATGGATTTGAAATCTACTTCTCTTAAATTTTAACTGATAGGCCTTTGATGTTCCATTAGAGATATAATAATATTACTAACCTTTCTTGCATATAACACGTGTTCAAATATTTCTAAAAAGCCAAGATGAGCCCTCTGAGTTTTCCCAACATATATGCACCCAAATATAGTCATTATGTTGCTATCACATGGAAATGTACAGGTTAAACATTACAGATCTTGAGGGTAAATTTCTTGAGGTCTCTTGTTCCATTCTTTACAGGTCCTGGTTTCAAATTCAGTCTTGGCTATTTCTAGCTTCACCAGAAAAGATAGATGTCCCAGGGAGGTTCAATTCAATGCAATGTAGGGAATAATTTTCTTATTTTGAGCCTACCTAATCATAAAATGGGCCATTCAAGAGGTAAGAAATTTATTGCCAGAGGAATTATTAAAGAAAAGGATAAACCTACACAAAGAAGCACTTAAGAGGAGTTTGAGTGTGGCCAACTCTAACTTGATAAAATCCTTTTAAAAATATGAATCCTATAACCAAGGTATAGACTGCACAGAAGTACAAATGGTACACTTGCAAGAGGATTATCTCAATCCTATTACTAAAAGACTATTACATAAAAAAAAACTATTGACTAGGAGGGCACGATGGTGCATTGCTATAATCTCAGCATTCTTAGAAGCTGAGGCAGGAGGAGTGTGAGTTTGAGCTCAGCCTGGGCAACAGAGTTGGATCCTGTCTCAAAAAAAGTTTTTCTTAAAAGGCTGGGGGATGAGTTCAGGGACAAGTTTCTTTCTCCAGCACCATACATACATAGGAAGAAAGAGACTGCAGGCAAAGGTGTGAAGAGCACAGGGGACCCTTAGATATGATATAGTGATGGGGGAACTATTGACCAGCCATGAAACCAGGAAGACACGCAGAAAAAGTGGTAATGAGAACCACAGGGCAGAGTTGTGAGAGGAAGTCCACCCAGACGGAAGTAGTGGCCTTCTCTCAAGGGGTCCAGACACAGCCAGTCCCAGATGAGATCTCAGACAGGGTATCCGAGGCTGAAGTACTCTGACTGCCTTCTCCCATCTCCCTCTGTCCTTCTACAGCAGCTCTCATGAGCTGATCCCAATTAAAATCCAGAGGTGGCAAAGCTCTCCATTGATGGAGTCCTTACAGAACATGTTCTAAAAGCAGAATACAGTAGAGAAAAGTAAAGAGTCAACTTGGCTCCAGACGTCCAGGCCAAGAAGAAGAAAACTTCTACATCCTTCATTTTGAACACAATTTGAAGACGAATGCAGCCTAAAATGGAATTCTTCATTTATTTATTTTTAAAAACTGGTCTAGGGAAAGAAGGGCACTCAAGAATAGGAACACATATTTTGATTATAATGCTTTGGGCACTGGCATACTGTTCTACTAGTGAAACTATTCCAGGCAGACAGAAGAACGAGAAATGAAACACAGAATCGGCTGAGCCCTTTCTTACCATCAGTAGGCCATCAACAGGCAGGAAGAATGCCAATGAAAGAAAATTGAGTAATTCTGCTGCTGATGACATTTCAAAATTTTATTCTTCATTTATTATCAAAAAGGAGTATGTTTAAAAATGTATATGTGACCTTCTTAATCGTAAATTTGAAAAGATATACAGCAGATTTTTTGCCTCTATCCTAGCTGTGCTCACATTGCCCCAGTAGGATATAAAAGGAAATTCGATAAGAGAATTAACTTTGAAACTATAAATGCTTATTTATCAGAGGCTTTGATATTTCCTTTGGGGAAGAAATTCTAGCCAATCTCATTCTGTTCTGAGTAAAAGAACACAGAAAGAGTTGTCTTAGGCACAAATTGTTCACTTCCAAAGGAATACTAAAAAAAAAAAAAAAAAAAAAAAAAAAAAAAAACCCAAAAAAAAAGAAAGAAAAAAAAAACCTCACTGCTTCTGTGAAAAATGGCCTTTTCTAGACATATTTGGGTAGCTCTGAATAGCTGTATTATAAAAATGAAAAATAGAGCCTCTCCAAAATATAGTTAAAAATTAGAGAGCTTAGTTGTTAATACTAGATATATGACATCTATATTAGTCAGCTTTGCGATATTATAATGAAAGCAATTAACTTATGAGGAGAAATACTCATTTTGGCTTATGGTTCTAAGGGTCTAGCCTTGTATTTGGTGCCTGCATTAATTTGGGCCTCTGGCAAGGGAATCACATCATGTGACCCCATGGAAGAACAAATTATGTAGTTTATGAGCTAATGAAACACAAGGGTATGGAGCAAGGCCTCCAAATCCCCTCTGAGGAGGCCCTGCCTCTCAAAGGTTTACAGCATATCCTGATACCACCATTGATGGTCGCCCCCCTTAAACTATAGCAACATCCTCAGTATTTAGTCCATGGCTGACAAGTACTGTATGTTCATGTTGATGATGTTGTTTCATAAGTGTTTTGGTAGTAGGTATATACAGCTACAAGACAGAACTGGAGGAGATGTAGAAGAAAATAAAATGCAAACTCAAAGCTCAAAATTTAAGTATCAAAAATGTTCTCAGTATCCCAGGAAAATAGATATTTATTCTATTATCAAAAAGTTTTATTTACCATCCCCACCCTTTTTTTTTCCTCAGGAGAGGGAAATATCCAAACCTGTTAAGAGGCCATATAATACCCCAAACTAAGTCCAGGCTTCAGCTTAGTCTTATCTTTGACACAACTTGGAAACAACTATCGCTTTCCATTCCACCCCACCCCCTAATTCTCAGTACTCTGTATTCCTTAATATGTACTCATTCTTCTCCATTAGCTACTTTCTCTTCATTCTTCAAGGCTCAGTGTCATTCAAATGTTACATGTCCTTTGAGGCATCCCAGTGCTCCTCTAATAGAATTATAACTTCTGCTCTTGGCTGACTTATTCATTGAACAAACATTTATTGAGCAAGGGTAGTATCAGCCTCTGCTAAATGTAAGAAGACCATATCTTCTTGACCATCATGGAGGCCAGAGACTGACAACAAAGACATTAGACAGGTAAAAGCAGAAATTAAAATCACTAAGTTGATGAATACCAAGAAGAATATTTAGAGTTATAAGAGAGATAATACGTGGCTTGAACCCTGACAGGAAGATCAGGTAGAGTTTAGTTATCCTGTCAGCTAAGCACTTGCCCATTTGTATTGTAGTGATTCAACTCTCTCACCCACAAGAGCAAAGATCTCTTGAGAGAAAGGCTTTTGACTCCTTGCACCTACTCCAATTTTTTGCTGAGTGTCTGGCTCGTAGCCAGTGGTCAATAAATTTGTTACACAAATTTATATTTAAAAGTCTGTGATCTGAAGTGTCAGATATCATTATCGGACTCCAAACACAAATTATAACCCATGCACAAGGGAAGAACGAAAACCTTGCATGAAACCAGTTTGTGCCCCAGGATATAGGTACCTAGGAATATTTGTGGCTGATAACTCAAAATTTCCTTCTTCAAATGTTTGCAGAATTAATGGGATACGCATAGAAGTCAGACATTCTACAACCCCCACTCCCACAGAGCATCAATAGCTACAGAATATTGAAAAACACTTATAAAATAGTTATGTAACTTATGGGTTGGTCCTCTAATTCCTGGAATCCTCAGAGCCTTCATGACTTGAGTACTTATGACTTTCTTAACTTGTAATTATTTCTTAGTTGTTCTGAGGTCCTTGTCAATCGGGTCACACTGTTTCACCAGCAGGGGGTACCAAAAGCCGGTAAAAAGAGAGCATGCATAAACCCATTTATTTCTCTACAGGGACATTTCCAGAGCTGAAGAATGTTTTAAGACATAACAAGCCGCAGTTTACTGCTTCTGACAGGTGGGCACGATGTGACATAACCACAGCTCTCGGCACACTTCCCTCCAGTGGATTGCTGAGAG